CTCTTAAAGGCTAGGAAGTTGATTACACTATTCATTTATCGTTAATGTACTTTCACAGATGTTGTGGCAAGGCTTCGGAAGTAAAATAATAACCGAGAATGACCCTATAAAATCTTGTTTCTGCTTTTTAGCAGCTCTGAGGATAGCAGATGAGGATATGGTCCACACTATTATAGACTTTCTTTCATATCTCAAATTAAAAGGTAAGTGCAGTTGTTATTTGATTAGAGATTTTTTAATCAGATTTATGAAACTAAAATAAAGATATATCAACTTCAAATTGCTGGGAGTATAGTTAGTATAGTATATAAATATATATATACTATTAAATTTTAGTAGTATATAGTACTATACAATTTAATACTATATAAGTATATAGTACTACTATAATTGAATACTATATATACAGTATATAGTATTAAATTAGTCGAACATTTTTAAATAAATACTTTTATTCAGCAAAGATGCATTATATTAATCAAAAGAGACTAATATATATATATATATATATATATCAGCCCCTTTTGATTTTATTTAATTTTTTATTCATTTTATTTTTATTCTGAAATATTAAATAAAATTATTTTATTTATTATTTTTATTTTCATTTTAAATTGTAATGATATTTGGCAATACTACTGTTTTTTAAAAAAATTTTGACTGTATTTTGTTTATTTTTTAAGAAACAAAAATTGAAAAAAAAAAAAAAACCTTCAAATAACGAAGGAAACCCCAAAGATGTTTTCAGTTTTCGGTCATTTTTTTTGTTGTTGTGTTGGCCTATTGAAATTCATCTGCTGTGTTACTGTTAACCATTCAATCCAGTCATTCCAGCTTAAATACAAATGTGTCCTGTTAGCCTTGACCAATTCATTTCAAATTCCAAAGCAAAGTTAAATTAATACATTTAGAATTCAACTCTGACTTCTACTAGTAAACGAAACCATCAAAATATTAATAAACGGACACATAAAAGACAAGCAATGTATATACCGTGCAATTCTGAATAACCATCTCTGTAGGTTTAAGGCAAATAAGAGCTTAATTTGACTGCAAGAAAGTGAGTTGTTCTAATTTTCACATTTCTACTTACTTCACCCTGCAGAAATCGGAGCTCTCGACAGTCTGCCTTCCTCGCTCACGTCAGAGGAAACAAGTCAAGCCTAATTTTGACCGAATCCAGCACTGGCACCGTGACCTCCACCGCACCCGGCTGAACTCGCTCTCAGAGGCTGTATTAACGTTCAGCGTCTTCTCCACCGCACTGTTCTCGACACGCTAAACTCTCAATATCACCACGCAACTTTAATCTGTCAGAATCACTTGACGGCTGGTGTGGAGATGGATTCAAAAAATAAAACTCATAAATGGCATTCGACTCACCTTACTGTCTGTCTTATTATCTTTTATTTTATATTTATAGAAAAGGCAATAACCATGACAAAGTATAAACACACCCCTGTAACCTTTCATAACAATTCAATTCTCCAAAGACCAAAGGTTACTTCACTATTTTACTTCTTGGTCAGTAGGAAACATGAATAATTAATACGGCAGGCTGTTTCTCTGGTCATCTGGCACTCGGACAGTGTGACACACAATATGGAAATCACCAGGGTAAGCCTTTCCCAGTGTAGTCCACATAGCCACCATGATGTTTCTCCGTTAATCCAGAAATGACAGACAACACTGATGATATGCTCTCCTCTGGGCTCAAAGGTGCCTTCAAATGCAAGAAAATGGGTTAAAACGCCATTTTTATCAAGACAACTAATAAAAAATAAAAATACATTTAGACTCACCGTTGGTCCGCCCATATCAGTGCGCACCCAACCAGGGTGAAGGGCGACGCATAAGATCTTCTCAGCTTCCAGATCCATAGCCAAACACCTTGTAACCATATTCAAGGCGCTCTAGAATGTCAAAAATCTAAGTTAAGTATATAGAAGTTCATAATTTTTCCCACAAAGCAACTAAACAGGTGTTTTACCTTAGATGCCCTGTATGCATAACTCTTGTAGCTCGCCCCCTCGCCCCAGTTGAGCTGCACTGATCCCAGGACGGACGACACATTGATCACCGCGGCTCTCTGGATTCCCATGTCACTGCCTTCAGCTGCCGCCCTTCTCAACAATGGCAGGAAAGCCTGAAAAAGATCATGGGGTATTCAAATAAATAAATACTGAAAATGAAATACCGTTAAGAAAGATTATAGTCGCCTTTGGATGGTAATTAATCCAGTCATATTACCTTGGTCACAAAAAGAGGAGCCACTGTGTTACTCTCATAGGTTTTCATCATGGCATCTCGAGTGACCGTGTCCAGTTCAGATGTCATGTTAATCGCCGCATTATTAATTAAGCAGTTCAAACCATCAGTGCCCACAATGGATTCCACTGACTGCACTGCTGCATCCACACTGCTGTCGCTGGTCACATCTGAAATAATAAAGACAGACTGATTTTTGAATCCATTTGATCTGGTTCTGGTGGATTAAAAAAACCAACTCAAAAGACCAATTTGTTTTCAAATCAAACATCTCAATGGTTTATTTATCTAGTTTATTTTTCTACAAAATAAAAAAACAATGAAATATTTTACAGAAGAGCATAACTAGAAAACTGTTCACTATGCAACTTTCTATTACTTAGGGCCGGTGTTATGAACTAAAACGATTAAAAATCATTTTAAGTAATTGAAATAAAGTTCGGAATTAACCAACTATATGGAAAGTGGCTTAAATTAATAAGTTCAGATTTAAACTTGAACTTAAAAAAACTAAAAAAGCTTGCAAAAAAAGTAAATGGCATCACTAAATGACAAAAAAACTAAAATGCACATATCAAAAATGAAAATATATAAAAATTCTCATTTAAAACATGAATATACTATAATAGTATATAAATACGATAAAAATAACTGTTTACTATTTGGAAAGCACTAATATATATATATATATATACAGTGGGTACGGAAAGTAT